ACGTATGCTTTCAGGTGAATAGTCGTAAGGCTTGAAACGTTGCTCGAGGTTGTTAGCGAACGCTTCAGCTTTCTCTAGGCTCGTACGGCACCAGCCACCTGAGGGATTCTTAATTGCTGACTTTGGGGTGGGCTGAGCCTTGTACCGTTTTGTGATACGCCACAACGAGTAGTTGGAACTAGCGTCTGTGCCCAGATTCTCCAAAAAGCTGTCAATAGATTCTTGTTTTCTTCGGGCGAGCGCCTTGCTTAGACAGTTAGCAAGCCGTTTATGTATCTGATGCATTCGAGCGTCTCCCGTTCTTGCATATTCTCTTCTTACTCTTCGCTTTAGGTTGAGAAGTGCCGCAATTCTGTGTGGTAGCTGGAGATGTCTAGAGGTCTCTGTATTTTGGCGATTCCCAGGTGCAGCTATCTCAGCAGCCTGGTTTATCATGCGCATGAAAAGGCTGATGGCATTGTCAATGTCAGACGGTTCCTGGGCTTCTATGTTAACCTCGCTCAGCTGCTCTAGGTAGGCTTTGAATGCATTTGTATTAGCACCTCTGGGAAGGAGTTGCGTGCGCTGTGGTTTTTTCACTGGTGTGGCATGCAATCTGGCCAGGATTGGAGTGTGGTCCGAGGAGAGTTCATGGAGTGTTTTTACTTCTAGCCTGTTTATAGCGTATCCGTTGATTATGAAAAAATCAAGCGCTGTCGGTGTTATCAGGGGGTTGTATGAGTAAAAAGTGGGTTCACCTGTGGCAAGTACTTGGTAATGCCCATTTGCAATGACATCTTGCAACTGTTTACCCCTTCTACAGGCTCTTGAGTTTCCCCACCATGCATGTTTGGCATTATAGTCACCGCCAGCAATAAATTTGCTTCCAAGTCCGGCCAGCAAGGACTCAAATTCTGATTGGATCCATCTTTCTGCTGGAGGTAGATATATAGCTGCTAATGTTACATTTCCGTCTGCAGTCTGTAATTGAATGCTCGCTATCTGCCTGTCATTGCTAGAGGCGGCGGGCAAGGGATTATGGCTTAGGGAATCCTTTATAATGACTGCAGAGCCACCTTTGCTGTTGCCACTAGGGTGATAAGCATGGTATATAAGATAGCCTGGCAAGTAGATGCGCTGACCATCGCGCATGTGAGTTTCTGTGGCAAGCATTACATCTATGTTATGATCGCTGAGGAATATTCGAAGCTCTTCAGATACTCTGACTAATCCACGAGCGTTCCACAATCCGATATTTAATTCTGATTGAATCATTTCGGCAATCGCGCAATTAGAACGTGAACCAGCTCTCTGAAAGCCTTGTTGGACTCTGCATTTTCCTGCATTAGCTTAAACAGAGTGTCGAGTTTGCTATTAATGTCGCGGATGGCATTATCTAACGCTGTGAATTTAAGGGTGAGCCTAGGGTCTGAAGGAGAGCTTGCGTCACTCTGCGAGGTTGAGCCAGTCCTTGCTTGCATATCCTTGGGTCGAGCTATATCAGCATACGATATATTCGTTCTTAATGCCTGAGCTGGTATGAATCCACGCGATACGCGTCCTGGATCATTTGTTACCGGGAGTCTAGGCCTCGGCTTTTGTTTTTTATTTTTTCTAATCTGACCGGGCAATCTTTATCTGTCGAGACGTGGTTACCGCCACAGTTTACGCACAAGCATGTATCGCTTACACAGAGTGTGGAACCAGTAACATGAGAACCACTACATTTACCACAAACAGGGTCCTGAACACAATAGTTTTTAGAATGTCCAAAAATTTGGCATCTTTGACATTGAAGTAATTCTTTTCTACGGGGTGCACGCTCGACAGTGACTCTGTATCTCCCGAGTTGCGTAATTTTTAGGGACTCTGCGACGTTTGCACCCTGCTTAAGGTTGATATAAAACATATTCTGCCTAGTTTTATAATTTACTGTAGCTTCATTATCATCTTCGTTCACCTGGATGTTCTTCCAATCAGTCTTTTTGGGGCAGTATATGTTAAGTACCTCAAAGCCGAATTCAGTAAATCCCTGTGTTATTTGAGATTTCGGAACGTTTGTATGGAGTCCTTTCAGAACTACTCTGTAGGCCTTGTCTTCTTTTAACTGATGGTGCCAAAATTTACACTTAAGAGTTGTCAGTGTTTTTACAGCTAGCCGAAAAGCGTCTGAGTTGGCTGTATATATTCTGGATACACCAAATTTGGAAGTGCGGATGTTGTAGTTTTTGGAGCCAATGCTAAGGTCAAGAGATTGTTCCAATAAGACCGGATCGCTTACGTTCGGTACACAAATAGCAGGGATCTTGTTAGATTTTGTAGGCTGTCTATCTCCATTGGGGGCATCAGACTCATCATTGTCATCCAACATGTCTTGCTCCATACTTTCCGCTTCAGCAGCCAGAATCGCAAAGCGATTGTTTCCGAATGTCGGTGCAGCGGATGTAGAGGCCGCCTCATTGGGAGTCGCAGTGGCCTGCCGTTTAGTTTTGCGAATCGGAGGAGGAGACAGGACAGGTAAAGGGGAGTTAGTCACTCCTTTGCGTTTCCTATTAATACTCCGATTGTCTGCTTGAAAGATGCATTTTGTTAAATTATTGTCAGACATAGTTGGGTAAATGCTAGGTGCCACGATTGCAGACCCAGTGTATGTTGGAGTACAGACCAAGCTTGCCTGGACGTTGGAGATGGTGCAGGTTACACTTGTAGTGGCGTTGCTGCTGATTGCCACCAACGAGGAGGTCGTTGTTTGTGTTGGCATACCTGCGAGTAAAGCAGTTACATCTGTACGCTTAGCGCGGAGCTGGCAGCGTATTTCTTCAGGGTCTGCATCAGCTACTTTCCTCATCTCCTCAAACTTATCACATCCATTACTGGGGCGCAATTGAGCAGGTAAATTCTCCATTATATCGGACGATGTAAGTCTGAGAGACAGGTCGATGACAACCTCTCGCTCGCGCAGACGCGCAGGGCGAGGGGCAAAGCACAAAACAGCTTAAAACTTGCTTATTGTTATAAGAATCGCGGTAAAATACCGTCACCGCTCAGCAGTGACTGCAGATAAACTTCGTGTGCAAGAAAAGCCCACGAGCCAAGAAGATGTTTAAAAAACACAAAATATAATTTAGGAGCTACACGTGGATTTCTACCAAGCTGATTGCCATTCACAACGAAACTCCCTAAAATATTTTGATGCAGCAAACCAAATGAGATCATTCTAGAAAATGTTGTAATTGTTTAGTCCAATATTATACATTTTCGTCACAACATTTTGTGTGTTAAGAGAGCGTTCGTCACAACATTCTTACCTCGCAGGACGTGTTTTTGTTTGTACTAAGCCAGCAGATTGTACTTGTTAGGAAACTCTGAAATTGCAAGTCCCCACAAATATGCAAAATGTTTTGTTTTATTTCGTTGCAACAAATTTTTCAATTCTACAGAGGTCGGAGAAAAAAATCCATTATATGAAAACAATAAAATTTGTGTTTGGCTGCCCAAGCGAGCTAGAAATAAAACAAAACAATACAAAACAAAACAGAACACAAAAAAAAATCCAAAACAATTTGGGTGCGTTAAAATTAATGAAATTTATGTTAGCTGCTATATCAAATTTTCCCATTGTTCCCAGAAGAGAGCTTTAAAGCGGGATTGTGTTTTTTAACATTTCATATTAATTTATTGTTGTGGCCTTCGGTTCAGGTTAAAGTCTAGCAGAAACCACACAATGACCAAAAGTTTATGCATTGTAATGCGTTCCTAGGAAGAGTGCACAGTGATTGCTCCCAAAAGATGACTCAGGCGAATGATAAACACTCTTTCTTTTTCTCCCTCCCCCTCTCACGGGGCTATTGTACATTATTTGTGTGTCATTGGCTATTTAAGCCAAAGCTCCCCTTGGGGCGAGGAACAATATCTAACGTTTCCGAGTGAAGGCAGCCAGTATTCCAAACAGGGTTTTGTGGTGCTATTTGGGCGTGGTGTCATTTGTCTTCCTCAGGCCATGGGGGTATATGTTGACATTCAGGGTAATTATAGTATATGAATAGATAGAAAATAGCTTTGTAAGGCTTTGGATTATGGGGATAACATGCGCTTGATCCTCTTGGGGCACTACAAGGTTTTGACTCACTGAAAGAGGCGAATTAAGGTTTACTTATTGCTAAATTTCACAGATCCATCAGCGTTAACTACCCCATTACACTATTGTACAATATGTATATTTTGTTCATGTTTCCTCTATCTATTGCATTTTTAAAATCGCCACCGAACCATTGAGCCGCACCACAAAACAACCTCCACCAGACTGTGAATAGCTCTCCAAATGCCCTTTAGCTATCGCATACTGTGCATGCATTTTGCATAATAAGCTGCGTACCAAGTAAAAACGAGAAAAGGAACAGAAAACGTCGCCATAACTTAAATTGAAAATGTAATGCTATTAACACTCCACTTAGCCACTGCACCCGCCACCCCATGGGTTGAATTTGCATATAACAACCCAGTCATGTTTAAAGTGTTGAATCCGCGCCCCCTCTACCACCGCATGCAACATTTTGCATAGTAAATAGATTAGTTTTTCGGTTACCTGCATGTTTTACCCTCACAACTACCAGAATGGAAACAAAGTCGCTGCAATGTTGCCGTACATGTAATTAGAAACTTACATTGCCTGCTTTTGGCAGTGGCCTTTGTTTATGCAAATATTTAAACACTAGACTACTTAACCCACATTCAAATGCCAGAGAAGCCCAGAACATAAACACACAAGCACCCCAAAAGTATGCAGCAGACCCGAACATGTGTCAAGTTATATAAGCACCCACGCCTACTAACACACACACACACATGCAGTCGCTTACAAGGCTAAAAGCACAACACACGAAATTGGCACTAACAACAACACACAAAGAAGATGAACAACACCCACCACAGCAAAAACAAAATGTTTAAGCAAGAACTGCATTTTAAAATATTGTGTGTGTTTTCTCTTCCCACTCCAACCCCACTCTATTCCAATTTAGCGCTTGGCCTAAAAGTATGCTGCATCATTAGTGTCAGAGCGGAGGCGCCTCACACCAACGACTACACCATCAGGACAAAGGAAAAACCGGGCAGCTGCAGCTGGGAAAATTGAAAATGTATGCTCATTAGTAACGGCAGACGCGGCGAGCGGGAAAAACTAACAGCAAAAGCGCATTGCAAGGACCGAAACGACAAGTTCCTAAGTCAAACGCCAAACCAAAAAACAACGCCCATTCATAATTAGCAAAAACAACAGCAAAGAAGGGAGGAAAGAGGTGGCAGATGGGCAGAAGGACAGCTGAAAAAGTCAAGGACGAGCTTTAAAATAATTCGCGAAAGCATGGCCAAAGGAAGTAACTCCAGTTATCTCGAGCTCCACAAGATGCCAGCAGCCGCAGCGAGCTGATTTTGAGAATAAGACAAATTAGAATAGCTCGCAAATTATCGCCGGGAAATTGATTCGATAAGCAATCTAAAAAGCATACAGCCAGAGAGGAAACGCCGACAGCGACGACAGAGACAACAGCCGGCGGCTTCTTTAATTTGTCAACCATCCACCACCCCATCGGACTTCCCAAAATCCAGCGCCTTAAGCCGACAAACATCGAGTCATGCCTGAGCAGGATAATTACGATGATGAGGTAATTTTTTGTTTGCGTACGAGGGCAACAACCGGCGGAAAACGGAAAACAGGGACTGAGCCAAAAAATTAATATGTTTTGAGCTCAAATATAATTAGGCATAATTAATTTTAAAAACAAATATTCTTCTGAGCGCGTGCCGGGTTACCCAGTTCCGTTTCGTTCATCCTCAGTTACAGGGATTAGTGGAGCATATTTGAAATTCAAGGAAACCCAAGCTTGGTGCTTGGATTATAATTTCAAATTGTTTAATGACTGAGAAAATTGAATAGCGCCAAAAGAATGCATTATGGAAGGTTGGTATTGGAAAATGGACTGAAACGGCTGAAGTAAGCAGACTGTTAGGGTTATTGTTATTTGTAAGCTATGTCTTTCCAAAGAACTTATATTATTATTTGCTCAAGGTGTATTATATACCGGATACCAAAACTTAAATACCCGTTATTCGGGCCGTAAATACGTCTTGATACGCATGATTATAATAATATACCATTTTTACTGTTCGGGTACTGAAAATTAAACAAGAAAGGAAGCAAACTTCGGCAAGCCGAAGTTTTTATAACCTTGCAGTTATTACAAAACGACCATATTTCAATTTCTATGCCTATATCACCAAAAACAATAAAGGTCGATTTTGCGCTGCATTTGCCATCGTTTCTATGATATGGTTTTCCGATTTGGAAATAAACTAAAAGCGTGATTCTGATTCAGTAAATAATTAATCAATTTCAAACTTTTGACTGAAATTATAATACCCTCTGTAAGGGTATAAATATTCGTATTGTTATTTGTATTATATTATAATTTCAGTCAAAAGTTTGCAACGCAGTAAAGTAACTATTCGAACCCTATAAAATATATATATTACTGTTCTTTGGAATTACGGTTTTAATTAAATTAAAATCGGACAACTTTATCATATAGCTCCCTTAAAAAAGTCAAAAAATTAAACAAATTTGCTTTGCTGTTTATCTATTTATAAAATATTACTTCGAGATATAGTAATAATTTACTATATCATTATTACGCTTTTCATTTTGTCAAAATCGGACAACAATATCGAATAGCTGCCATAGAAACGATGGCAAAATGCAACGAAAAATCGACATAGCTTCAGTGTTTTTAGTAATATAGGCATAGAAATCAAAATGTAGTCGATTTGTTATAACTGCAAGTACAATTGGTGGATTTAATAAAATATTTTAATTTAGTGTTATATTAAAGGATTTGGGAATCTGTTTTTACTTTTTTTTTAAAGAAAATTAAGAGAAGTATGGAAAAAAATTTGATTTTTTGAGATTAGAGAAGATATGAATTAGAAACAGAAAGTTAAAAAAAAAAAAAAAACACCTATTATTTTGTCTATGAGTGTATATATAAACTTCGGCTTGCTGAAATTGCCGTTTGATAGTCATTCTTAAATGGCTAAATCATTAATGGATAGGATTTTTCACGGCATTGATTTAATTTTTATAATTAGGTTGTCTAAATTCCATTAATCAATTTGCAGATGAGTGAGAACGGATGGCAGCTATCCGGTGGCACTTTGTGAAATACCTGATTGGCTTCCCAGAGATTATCTTCGCGATTGGACTTATTATTAGGTCCACTTGGCCGACAAGCTGACTAAGCTCCTACATCGCCACTTCAGTTGCGACTCACTCTGCTTCCAACCTCGAGAAGTACTTCGGGGAGGCAGAAAAGTTCACTCAACGACTCGTAGTCGGACAACTTGAGCTTCTTCCCAGCACTTTCATCATCCTCTTCCGCTTTTCCGACGACTTTGATGGTCAGATTTTCCCGCTTGGCTGCATTCTTCGCGGCGCTGCGGAATCAACTGTGCGGCTGCGATGCTAATTGAAATAAATTCCGCATGTTATTCAAATGCAAAGCGCTGACAGTGCTGACTACAATTGCAAAATTGAATTAGCCATGCACCGCATGTCCGCGACTGTGTGCTTTGCATACTAAGTTGTCTGAGGGGAGGCTTCTCATCCCGAGTGGGTGGCTTGGTGGGAGTGTCAAACTGCTGGGGAGTTAAACAAGCAGTCCAAATGGCAATCAACCATTCAAGCGGAAGTCAATTAGCCGGAATTTCCACTCCGATTTCTGCCCGCCGACGCACAGTGGCTTAACAGTTTCCAAAAATACAATTTTTATGTGTTCCTGGAAAGTTGTGGAAGGACAACATTTACTGGAAAGTTATTGATTACAAATGTGAAACCCCCAAAAGAAACTGATTGGAGGTACGACAATTGTTGACCTATTTTAGGTTCCTCTTTTTTTATATTCGGCCCCCTGGTCAAATCAAGACCCGTTCCTATGTTATTGTTTCATAAGATATATGTCCATTTACAGCATCAAAAAACAAAACTATAAAAAATATAAACATGTTAGAAATATTTTTTTTTTCACAAAATTTGACTTTTACAGTCTATTAGTATGCTTTTGTTATGTGTATTTTTTCTTAAAACATATTTTATAGCTTATATTATTCAATTATCTCTTTTGGCTCAATTTGATTTTTGCTAAGAAACCCATTAAATCACGCCACTGTGCGACGAATTGGAATTTGACAGATTAAAGTGTGGCGCACACATTATGGGAGCATTCAAGTATGATAGCGCATCCCAACTATATAAATTGCTTAGACTGATAATGCTGGCTGACAGGTGTAATTGTGCAAAGAGCCAGCACGTTTAATTGTTGAGCGGGTGTAGAGATAAGTGATTAAAATGTATTTCCCAATACCAGGAAAGGTTGTAATACTCCAGTTTACGCTTATCCTCGCGATTTCTTAAGAACTTATGTAAATCAAATTCTTGTTGGTAGGCCATGTTTTTCATGTAATCGACTTTTTAAAAATCAAGAACAATTTTCTCCTACTTACGCTAAAATGATATTTAAAATTCACCTTTTTTTTAAAAAACAAAAAAATTATGAAATTCGTATAGCAGAACTTACAATCGAAAGTGATTTGTATACCCTTGCAGAGCGTATTATAATTTTAGTCATAAGTTTGCAACGCAATGAAGGGCCATATATTCTTGATACCAGGCGAGCAATTTAAAGCTAAAAAAGAATTCATATTTTGACAAAAAAATCTATATATTAAAAATATAATTTTATTGGAAGTGAAAGAAATGCGTACTTTAATTTTATAGTAAACTACAAAGCGTTGAAATGTTATTATAAGAGAACTGCTGTCGACTTCTTAACGTAAATTCGCGATAAATGAAGGATTATTTGGTATTTCATTTTGTTGGTTGTGAGGAGGCTAGAGTATTAACAGTGTATTCGATAAGCCTTCTATAAGCCTTTTGTACGAAAGTTCACCCAACCTTAAAATCAAACAAGTACAACTCCGGGGGGACGAGACTTTAAATCATCACTCTTGCTTGAAGTACCACCTAAAGTCAGTCACTGCACATTGCCTTCATTTGTGTCGGCGCTGGCATATTACATTTTATTTTGACAAATTCAGGTAACCTAACGACCGCCGACAGGCTCGACACCTGCAGGAGCAGGTTGGAAAATGGGAAAAGAGAAACAGAAAACAGAAAAATAAGCAATCATGGCCGTGTAATGGAAGCTCAAGTGTGTGTTGACATAGAGGAAAACCCGCACACACAGAGTAGCTGGCACACGCGACACATACCCACGTGACAGATATAGCAAATGCCATGCCGTTACGGCCTTGAGCTAAACTGCTGTTGACAACAGCGTCCAATGCCAGGGGAGAGGGGGCAGGGGGAGGGGGCGGCCCACAGGTAGACAAAGGGGCTGGCACGCCGGAAAGCCAGACACAGACAGGCACACACTCGACACACACAGCAAACACACCCGCGAAAGTCTAATGCAGGAGCGTGCAAGGATGCAAGGATGCACTACATCCTACCTCCACTTCACAATTGCCGCCAACGACAACGCCGAAGACTGTTTATGGCTTTCATGTTTGGCAGGAAGGCAGCAGGCCATAAAGATTGCTTACTAATGTCGCCCCCAATGCGAAGGGCAATATTGCCGGTGCGGAATGTTACCTCGGGGGACAGGCTCGCAGGAGGCACAGGTGCAGGTCCTCCAAGGTTTCCAATACTGTCGAATGAGAACGGAAAAGAAAAACCGAAAAATGCAATAAGTCGGCTTCATTGGCTCAGAAGTTTTCCATATATTAACTTTGAGTGAAGAGCAAACATTGCTAGACAAACTTTGCCGAATTTTATTGGGAAGCTTCAAGCGCGTCAAAGGTTGGAGGTCAGCGCAAATTTGAATATAAACTGAGGAAATTTTGGCAGCGATAGTAGTCACAGACAGACAGAAAATATGTAGAAAATATAGCACAATGGGCACAACGACCACTTTCGTTTGCCGAAAATCCTAGCAGGGAGTATTATAATTTCTAACTGTGTAAAGTAAATAAATTCTTGATCAGCATCAACAGGCGAGTCTTAGTAAGCGACCGCGTGTCTTAGTACTGAATTAATCAAAAAAACCTATTAGTGAATTAATTTACATTCTGAAACAGCTTTGTATTCATAAAAAATATTAGAAAAAATCATTATTTTGTAGATAAGTTTCCCAATACAATCGTTAAGATCCAGTTAACGTTTTTTTGAAATATCAAGAATAGTATTTGATATGTAAAGTTAAATTTCAAGATGGCAATTTAATTTTAGTATGGCTATTTCTAAAATCCAAATCGAAGACCAGTTCAATGCCCATTTTATTTTTGTGAGCAATCCAGATGGGTTTTAATGCGATTTAGTGGGCCATCTCCATCGCTGCTGAGCCAACTCGCAAGTTAATTGAAAACGACACTTTCACTGCCAACGGGATATAACCTTGCCTTCCCCCTCCCCTTCTCCCACTCCCCCTCCCCCCCTCAACACTAACCAAACTCATTTTCCCCTTTCGCTCCACAAATACTATAGCTGGCATCCATTTTAATGCGCTTAAAAGTATGCAGCAAAGAATTTTAACGCTCAGAGCTTAATAACTATGACAACTTATGCAAATAACTGGCGGCTCTCCGCCCACTCCACCCACACCCACTCCCACCACTCAACCTCCAAACCTCCAACAGCTGGCTCTTTCAACTTTCTGCACTCGAGAAGCAACCAAAGTTTGCCCAGCTCAGCTCGACGGGCTTAACCGCAAAAGCAGCTAATGCCCTACTTGGGATTGTAGGTGAATGTGGGTGCCATGAGTTTCCCGTTCGCATTATCTCTGCCCCTGGCCAGCTGAGAGAAAGCGAAAGTGAAAGCGGACAGGGAGAAAGCGGACAGAGAAAGGGAGAGCAAGACATAATTTGGTTATTCTCTGCTTTTAAGCTTGGTCTGGCTAAAGTTTCCAACTCCACCCCATTGGCTTAAATTTAAACTCTGAACGATGCCTGAAAAATAATACTTTAGCCGTTCTGGTTTTCTGTGGATTAAATCTCAGGTAACCAAGAATTTAATCAAGTTTTACCCATGGGAAAAACTGATTTCCCTGTTTGCGGACACAATGAGAATGAAATGATAACATTGATCCGAAATCCCACGATAATCAAACGTCAGCAAGAATAAGAGCAAACACAAATACGAGAAAAGAGGTAGACTTTTCCTGTTTCTGGTTTCCGCTTTTTGTTTTCTTGTGCACTTAAATCGCTATCCGTTTCCATTACCATTTCCGTTGGTGCATTTCATTTTCATACGCCGAGGCATTGTGTGCAATTTCGGTTATAATATTTTCCGCTTCGAGCCGCAAAGTTTGCACTGCCAGGAAGGGCCCATAAAGCAAACGGCCTACGTTTTAATTTTTTTGCAGCTCGGTGAAAACGTGAGCTCTGGGAAACTTAATATCTTTGGTTATATCGGTAAATTCCTTTATTTATAGCAACATTTATAATTGTTACTATATTGTAGTCGATGTATTTAATTATAGTAAAGCTCTTTTTTCGGCAGAAAGTTTAAAGCGGATAATGATAACTAGTAGCAAGCATTTATATTAGAAAGACAATTTTGGTTAAAGGTGACTGATACTTAGAAAATACCACTCAAAAAATAATATTAAAAGATATCATTTGTTACCAGCTAGATTCGCAAGCGACTTATTCTCTCAGACCTCAATTTGCTCTGGAAATAAATAAATTGATTGACAAATATGTTCTACCACGACCTCGACTAATTGCAAGGCATTAAACATTTATTAAAGTTAATAGGATACGCTGCTCATGTGCTTCGTTCATTTTCGTATCCATCAAATTGCTCCATTACCTAAAACTTCAGAAATAAACTCATTGAATTTTGCGTCAAGGGACGGGCTTTGCTAAAATTGATGACTGCAATTATTTTTAATTCGTTTAGCGTTAACAGCAACTCATCAAGTTGAGTGTTTAAATTTCATTTATGGCCGTATTTTTGCATATTTACTTGTGCTTGTCTGTAAGTATTTTTCCTCCTGGCAATCAAGCTGAGTGTCCTTATGCATGGGTCCTCAGGACTTGACCCTCCTGACGAGAATAAATTCAATTCAATTAAGACAAATGAAGTATACGCCGCGTGTGCCCGCAAGAAATCATTATTGTTATGATTGTTTTTGCGAAAATATTTTCAAGTTGCTCGAAAGTTTTCAGAGTTTGCGGATGTATTGTTCTTTGATAGTTTACTTTACTTTGTTTTCAGTTTATTTGCGTAGCTAATATATGCCGGAGCTGGTTGCGGTTCTCGAAATTTATATACGTATAAAGGGACTATTAGAATCCCTTATAAATAATCATGCTGGCAAGCGATGCGTGTGCTCAGGTACACGTGTTCTCTTGCAATTTGCCCCCATTTGTAAGTGAGCCTTGTTATTAATTAAGGATCGCGCTTACCTGCCCGCACTAATGGCCAAAATAGAAGCACTGCGGGTTGAACATGTGAATTACATGCCAATTTAATTGAGCGCTCCCTCTATCAGTTTAAGCGAATAATGGGAAATCAAACCCTATGAGAAAAATCGATAGATTTTGGACAATACTCTTATGTTCTTTGTTTTAGTTTAATTGATTTATAACATTAAATACCAGCTTAATTGACAATACAAATTGTACTTCCTGTCCCCACATTTAATTTGATAGGAACTAGCTTTCCGGCACGCAGTTCTTGATTAATACATGGCCATGTTTTCACTATCCATCAGAGGAGAATAGTTTTATGAGCCCTTAATTAATTATTCTGCTAAGCAGACATGATGGACACGGACTGACTGGGGCGAAATCATGCAAAGCCCCAGACAAAAGCCCCACTCGTAAAAATCGGTATCAACTTGTACTGGCTGCGTGAGTTTAGTTCTTGTCGTGTTTAATTTGGGTTTCTGTTTTCCTTTGTTGCTTGACAACATTAAGTATGCATTAAGCGTTGATTTCCAAGCGGTTTTGACTGGGCCTGTTTATTCTGTATGCCCACAATTTAAGGACTGTGTGCTCGTTTAAGCACACAGAAGGGGAGAACTGAATCATCAGTTTACTAATTGCTCCTTGGCCAATTATTTGCGGTTCTAGCGGGTTTATTATGGCGTTGGCCAGCCTTCATAACTTTGGGGTAATGAGTCGCACGTGCTCTTTATGGACCGCATTAGCATTCCATCGTTTTCCAATTAATTTTCTTAATGCTTCACTGCTCTTTCTTATTATTTTTCTTGTGATTTTGCACAGTTGGTCTCCAGCAACCCCAACCAAAGGAACTGGCGCGGCATCCTCATTGCGCTATTGGTCATCATCATTGTCCTGGCTTTAATTGTGACTTCGGTGGTGAGTCTGAGTCAACACTTGGCCTAAACGCCAAACAAAAATAGTACCGCATGATGTTTGGTTATTGTCCTTTGAGGTCCAATCAGGCAACCAACTGGCCAGCCTAATTGTGTAAATCGGTGTCACAAATGAATTTATGGGCAATTAAGTAAGATTAAAGTCCAGTGTGTCTCGCCCCAGTGACATACATCAATGATTAGCAAAACCCAAAATTGCGGTTTGTTCGTTTTGTAAAACAATCCCGAAGCAATAACCAAAACACTGTAAAAAAAAGAACACAAAAACAAGAAAAACACAAAAGATAAAATAAAATTATAACTTTTCAACACCAATGTTTTAACACTCTGCTAAAACTACTATTTAGTATTGCTCTTATAAATTTACATGTTAAAAATAATTTATGATATTGTAAAATTAAAGTGTATTAAATTGTTGCCTCCCCAAAACGGTTCACAACAATACTATTTCCATTAAAGTGAACACAGTTCTGTTTAGAAACAATCTGTTACTTTGTTCACTTCAAAATCACCGCACACAAAACAAATCCTCGCGCGTAATTGGATGGTAAAAGTTTTCTTTTTTAATTGGCGAAACTCCGGGGTTCGTTAAAAAATTTGTGTGGCCTATAAATATTTCAACAACATTCAGCGGCAACGAAAAAAGAAATCTCGAACATCCATTTATGATTATGTGTATATTTATATGTATGTACCTATATATAAAACAATTGTGATAAATTTTTGTGTAAATACGTTACGCTCATTTTTGTCTTTTGTCTGTTTGTTTACTTTTTTGCTATTTTGTGGCTGCCTGATAAATTTACCTCCCCCACACCACCGACCATTTTTCTATCTATTCGTTGTTGCTGTTGCTGTTGATGTTGTGTGTGTGTTGTTCACGTGTGCCTGCCTGTCTGTCTGTCTGCCTGTCTGTGTGAGTGTGCAGAAGACAACATATAAAATTTCTACATTTATCAAAAAAGGTGCTGCTCACGCCCCCCGATGAGGGACCGCGGGTCAAAGGGCAGCGCATCAAGCTGCAGGACATCGTCGACGGCCTCTTCGTGCCGCAGCACTCGAACGGCAGCTGGATCGATGGTGAGTCCTGTGTAGCCCCCAATTTGGGTGCTATATATCGGCTTCTATCCGGCAAATCGCTTTTAATTTCCGCCCTGCCTTCCTCTCATTTCGTTTTTTGCAGGCGAGGAGTTCCTCTACCAGGACCATTTGGGTCGCATCTGTCTGCTGAATGCAGCCAATCGCTCGGAACGTGTCCTCATGTCCAATGTGACATTTGTAAGTACATTTCGATCAATTCCATTCCCATCCCCATTCCCACTCCCTCAATCGAATCCCTTCTGGATGGCCACTACTGCCGCTGCTTGTTTGCTTATTGCTTATCTCTCTGAGCAGAATAAATATTTGCCCCATCTTATTTACGAGTCGGGGAGTCCTAGTTATATTGGGTGTGGGTGTGGGTGGGAGTCCCCACCCGCCAGGCAGATATCTCAAGTGTACACACTCGACTTGGCAATGTTAACTGATATTATGGCGCGCACAAAAGTGAGCGAAACAAATGGGCCAAGTTATCGTTAACTGAGTGCGGCGACTTTCGCCTCAATCCAGCGATAGCGATAAAAGGCAAGAAGATTTTTATGTCAATGACTGGGTAAACACATGTGGAAGGGCACAGGGAAAGTGGGTGGGGGGAAACGCCTCTAATGAATAATGCGCGGATGGAATTGAAAAACAAACAAACAAGGGAAACTAAAGGCAAGAAACTGAATGAACTGCTGCGGCTGAGCAGTTGACAGCGTGAGGCGGTAAGGGCGGGAAAAAGGCTTTTCTTTGCCAACTTGGCAAGCGAACATTTCGAGTGCCTCGAGGGGCCAAAATATGCAGACGAGGAGGAGTGCAACAAGTGCAGTCAACAGTTGCCAGTTGAGTGGGAAATAATTAATGTGTAGACGAACCCAAAGAAACACGAGTGAGCAGTCAAAACGAGCTAGTGGCAATGCATATTCATAGTCGACTAAGGATCTGGCATAAAGTTACTTCGCCTTTAAACTCAAACAATAAATGAGCAATGAATAGCTAAGTGCTTTGCATAAACTCGACTCTTAATTGAGTTGGTCTGGGAAGTATAATATTCAGATGGCTGTCCCAAACAAATTCAGGCAGCAACTCTTTGGCAACCATTTCGTTATTCAGTCCCGTAAACAATGCCGCAAATTCGAAAATTTCCAACGAACCACCAACAAAACTTCCGCAATTTTGCGTGCGAATCAGAAAAGACCATTAAAATTTTAATTAAAATTACGTATACGCAACGTGTTCGTATTTCAACAGCCGCATTGGCGGTGGCAGGCTCCTCCCAGCGGTTTTCCGCATAATTTGCAGCAAACATTTAATACCCATCCGATCCGCTCTCACAGAAAACCCTGGCACCCTTCACCTTCACCATATCGGCGGACAAGCGCTACCTGCTCCTGGCCCAGAATGTTGTGAAACTGTTCCGGCACTCGTTCCTGGCCCAGTACACCCTCTACGACATCCAGACCAGGTGAGTTCGAACCCAGAGTCGCGCCCGTCCGCATTTTAGCACTTTGCCGTAATCCCGCCAGCGAGAGCATCAAGCTGCGCCACAGTCCGCACCAGGAGGATTGGCCGTTCCTGCACTACGCGCGGTTCACGCCCGCTGGAAACGCCCTGGTCTGGGTGCAGAGCTACGACATCTACTACAGGGAGGAGGTGCGCAGCTCCGCCGTGCACCGGATCACCCACGATGCAGTGCCCGGCGTGGTGTACAACGGCATTCCAGACTGGCTGTACGAAGGTGAGAGGAATTTCGACCATTTTGGGAATTATACCCGATATACTGAATGAAAGGGGATTTAATGTTAGTTGAAATCTGTACGGGCTTAAAACAATTGAAAGACGAGGATATTTCCATGGCAGAACTACTATTTCATTTCTGTTTGACGCTCGTAAATGTGACCTCTTTTTATTCCGATATTTATTTATCGTCTTCTCAACAAAATACTTCTCCTTTGAAACCCAACTAAATATTTAATTTTTAAAAAATATAGCCAACATAAATATCTTCTAAGCCCATAGATTCTTGGTTTTTAATATAAATGAATGCCTTTGATCAAACAATCGCAAAAGATCCAAGTCTTAATATAAAGTATAGTTCCCTTAAAAAGCTGAAACGTTCTATAATAATATTAAGTCCCCTTTTAAGCACACTCTTTTAGTAATTTTTACATTCAGCATTATTCGCAAGCCGGCTGCTCACGTTGCACGACATTATACTCAACTGGTTGTTCATTTTATTTCCCGTTCGCAGAGGAGATCCTTCATGCAAATAATGCGATTTGGATGTCGGACAATGGCCAACTGATGCTGTACGCCACCTTCAACGACACGCACGTCCAGGAGCAGCACTTCGCCTGGTACGGGACGACGGGTCCGTCCGGCGGAGCGGCGGCAGCTGCAGCGGGGGGGGGGGAGGAGCCGGATCAGGGGCCGGGGGAGCGGGAGCCTCGTCCAGCGGCAGTAATCCCTATGCCAGCCTGTACCCGGAAATCAGGTCCTTACGGTAAGTCGTGACCCCATTAGGTCCGTAGCCGGGCTATATCACTTTTCGATTATGTGTTAATGACGCCTCATCTCTCTCGCGTCCGTCGTAACATCCAGTTGCCTCCCAGCAACACACTTAAAATTCATGAAGTGGCAGTGGGGAGACCTTTTCACAGGTTTATTCCACCTTTTCCTGGGCCTGTCCTTTTCCTTTCCCACTTTCCCACTTCCCCATTCGGCTGTGCTGACAGTTTGGGCATTAGAATTAGTTTCTGTGCCCAAGGCAAAACAACACTTTGGGCCCCTAAGCAAGTGTGACTTATTAAGGTGGATCCCCTGTCAATTGGGTTTGATAAATTGCTAAAACGGACTTCAAAAGGCTCATCGTCTGATGTCAGTGCACATTGAGAACTGTTCAATTTTGGGCAATTTATACATCCTAGAGAACGGAAATAATGAATGGGACATAGAGGTTTATTAAAGCTTTAACTTCATTGTGTTTTCTTTTCATTTTTTGATAGCTACCCCAAACCGGGCACTCAGAATCCTACAGTAACCCTAAGAGTAGCCGACCTTAAGGATCCGCAGCAGATTCGAACAACTGACCTGCACCCACCACAAATTTTAGCAAATGAGTAAGTTTGTGATCCCTCCATACTTATTTTATTTAAAACCGAGGAGTAAAAATTTCCTTTAAAAATCATTGTGTGGGTAACTAGCATTGCATGACAATATTGCATCAATAAGCTTTCTTGAAGCTAGCTTTATAAAGAACGTTATATTAAGCCAGCCCTCTCTAGTCTCATTTAAATATTTCCTTGTTGCCACGCAGAGACCACTACTTCAGCAGCGCCAGTTGGGTAAGTCACTCCAAGATCGCGGTGGTGTGGCTTAATCGTCCGCAGAACATCTCCGTGGTCAGTGTGTGCAAGGCGCCGTCGTTCGAGTGCATTGAGGTGAGTCCAACTGGTCACCGAGCCAGCAATCTCCTAATGAACCCATTCGCCTTGCAGACCCACCGGGTGAGCGGGGACGGACGTGGCTGGGTGGACACTGTCGCAGTGCCGCTGTTCGCCGCCAACGCCAGCATCTACGTGGCCATCTCCCCGCTGCGCGATGGCCTGTTTGGTAAGTCATTGGGATGTCAAATTGGCCTTTGTTTCCCGAGCGACAAAGCCTGCCACCTCCTTCGCCCCTCTGACCAGCCTTTCTCTTCCGCCACCAATACCCCTTAATCACAGGCTATTTCCGGCACATCGTGCACGTGGACATCGACAAGAACCGGGTGCTGCCCCTCACCCACGGGCCGTTCGAAGTGAATCGGCTGCTGCACTGGGATCAGCTGGATAATTGGATGTAAGTGATTGCGTCACACGAAACCGTTTCACTTCCGTGCATTAAGTGTATAATAATATGGTTACTATTGATATGATAATACTGAAAGTGGTTACGAATAATCGCGACGTACGCATATACATATATTTACGCTGAAAAAAGTAGAAAATCATCAATTATTTAATGGTGCAATTAAAATGTAATTTATCCGCATTTATGCAAGCAAGACGAACTTAGAAGGCTTGAGTTTTAAATGCTCTGATTGTGTTGCACAAATTCATACCATTCAAGAACTTGTTCAACACAATTATCTTGATATAAAACTTTAATAGTTCGATTGCATTAAATGTTTGAAAGGCATTGCACTGAAAATTTGACCTACTTTAAGACTATCCACATTTTTGAAATTAATTGAATATTTATTTTTATACCCTTGCAGAGGGTATAATAATTTCAGTCAAAAGTTTGCAACGCAGTGAAGGAGACATTTCCGACCCTATAAAGTATATATATTCTTGATCAGCATCACCAGGAGAGTCGATCTAGCCATGTCCGTCTGTCCGTCCGTCTGTCCGTCCGTCCGTTTCTACGCAAACTAGTCCCTCAGTTTTAAAGCTATCTGCTTGAAACTTTCCCAAAAGTTGTCTTTCTATTGCAGGTAGTATATAAGTCGGAACGAGCCGGATCGGGCCACTATATCATATAGCTGCCATATAACTGAACGATTGGAAATGCCATAACTTTGGTGTTTTTAAAGTTAGGAAGTTGGGACTTTTTATGAGTATTAAGAATACACCATATGAATAATTTTGAAGAATATAATTTACAGAATATTCTGCAAGGGTATATTAACTTCGGGCCCGTCCGAAGTTAGCTTTCCTTTCTTGTTTTAACTAATACTAATAAATACCCCCAATATCAGCTGACCAATTAAAAAAAATATGACCCCTGAAAACAATCGGTTTTTAAATCTTCCGCTAGACTCGTCTATTGATCCTTATCAAGAATATATACTTTATAGGATTGCATCCTTCTACCTATTACATACCTCTCAACGAATACAATAAACTTTTTCACTCTACTAGTAACGTGTATAGACATATAAAAATTTTAGAGCAATACAAAAATAAAAGGAATTAAATTTAACCATGAATAATTTAAATTATTGGATATTGTTTTTTGAGCAGTTCAGCAGACAAATTCATCCTACAATTTTAATCTTGCAGCTACTTCCTGGGAACTCCCGAGCGTCTTCCCTCGCAGCAGCATCTGTATCGCGTATCCGCCCTGCCGGCCCGCCAAGGTCAGGCCCTGCACGCACCCGATTGTATCACGTGTCCGGCAGTGACGCAGTGGGCCGAAGGCTACGAAGAGGGTCACACCAAGTCCCCGCCCAAGCTGGTGACCGCCTGGGACGACGACTGGGAGGACTCCGAGGAGGCGGAGGCACAACCGCCCCAGCCAGCACTGCCGGTGGAGCAACAAGCCCCGGGAAAGGGCCAGAGTGCGCCTCTGCCACCCCCGCCCAGTGACTGCCTGTACCACGAGGCACAGTTTCCCCTGACCCGGCAGGCAAAATACGTAATGATCGATTGCCTGGGTCCAGTGGTACCAACCTCGATTATCTACGGCTTAAAGCCCACCGCTCCAGAAAGTGCCAAGGTGAAACGGCAGAGCACCCAGCAGGAGGAACCGCCCACGGAGGGCAGTGGGGAGAAAGGGGCGGAGGAGCCGAAGTCGCAGTTCCTTGAGCTCCTGGTCACCGTGCAGAACAACACCCGGTTGAAGGAGAAGATGGCCAGGACAGCCATGCCGCAGATAAAGACCTTCCCGGTGATGATCTCCGGCGGATATCATGCCCAAGTCCGGCTCTTCCTGCCGCCCGTTCTGCGCGAGGACGAGATCACACGATACCCCACCATACTGCATGTGTACTCGGGTCCGGGCAGTCAGTTGGTTACCGATCGCTGGCACGTCGATTGGAACACCTATCTGGCCGGCAGCAAGGACTATATTGTCGTGGAGATCGACGGGCGGGGATCCGCCGGCCAGGGCTACCAGCTGCTCCACGAGGTCTACAAGCGTCTGGGCAGCGTCGAGGTCTCCGACCAACTGGAGGTCAGTGAGTACCTCAGGGACAACCTGCACTTCATCGATTCGCGGAGGATGGGAGTCTGGGGCTGGAGCTACGGCGGATATACGGCTGCACTGGCGCTGGCCGGACAGCAGTCGATCTTCCAATGCGGAATCAGTGTCTCGCCGGTCACCAATTGGAAGTTGTACGGTGAGTTTGGTTAATATATTGAATATTTTAAAATCAACCTATACAAATACATAGATTCAAAAGGCAGTAGTAAACATTCCTAACTATTGTAGCAGAGTAAAACACGCACCAGTTCAGGTCGGGATTCTCGTCTTTGCTAACATTCTCTTAACAGCTAGGAACTTTAACAGAGTGTATACATATAAATAACAGGCCGTGTATATATGTGTATGTGTATTTACAGATATGCTTAGGGCTACTATAGGTGTCTATTTACAGATATGCTTATATCTTATATCTTATATATATTGTGTGTATAAATACTAATAGGATTGCTTAGGGCTGCTATATATAATATGTGTATAAATACTAATAGGGTTGCTTAGGGCTGCTACACTATGTAGATCCCACTTGTATTGAAAGCCTGCATAAATCATCTATCCTGAATATTTCACATTATTTTTCACAAGACTTAAGAAACGGCAAAGAATAATTAGCTAAAATCCTCATATGTGTTTCATGTTAGACTCAACGTATGCCGAACGCTATCTGAGTTTCCCCAACGTGACGGATAACTACAAGGGCTACGAGGAGAGCGATCTGTCCAAGTACGTGGACAATCTGCGAGATCGCCAGTTCCTGTTGATCCATGGAACCGCCGACGACAATGTGCATGTGCAGCAATCGATGGTGTTGGCCAGATCGCTTACCAGCAAAGGGGTGCTCTACAAGCAGCAGATATATCCGGACGAGGGGCATAGCTTGTCGGGGGTGAAGCGGCATTTGTACCGCTCGATGACCGCCTTCTTTGAGGATTGCTTCAAGAAGCTGGTAAGTGAAGCCTCCAAGTCCTGACAATTACTATGTAATATATTCCACTCTCCTACCACAATTATATATATATAACTCTCTCTATTTCTCCTGCTCTCCAAATAAATACAAACCCACCAACTCACCGCCAAAATAATACCACAACCACTGCCATTTCATTTTTGTTACGTTTTCGGTTTCGTTATTGTCCTCCCACCATCGTGTAGATCGATCAGCAACAACAAAATCAAACAGATTCCATGGATTTTCTGGACTTTCATAGTTTTTATGGCCGCTAAGTTTGATTCCATATCCCACATCCTCCAGATACTAGGTACAGTCGCCGTTGCCAGTTTTCTTTCACCATATTCTATACCTTTCGTCGTCGGTTTCTCATTGTTCTCAATTCGATAATTGTCATTGTTAATGTCGATGTTGTCATTAGAGGGAAATTCCTCACTCTGTAACCAATTAATCGCTGTTTTAATGTCTTCTTGTGAATTTTGGGTGGAGACATACTATTTTTGCTTTCTTACACATCTTTTAAGTGTTAATCTAGACATCGATGTTTGACGTTTAAAATACTATTAAGCCACTAATTCTCATTCATTTTCTTTCAATTATTACTGTTATATAATGAAATATAGATGATTGTGTCTAAAAACCGCAATATTAAAAAAAAGAAAACTTTCATTAAAGAATATATCTAAACATCTGTTTAGTTTTTAAGTTTTATTTAAGCTAATTTTTATTGATTGCAAAATATATAAATTTATAAAAAAATGTTTCTTCTTGCCCAAAAATTCCTTTTTGCATCCTATCTGCATAAGTTTTGTGTTATAATTTTTGACGTCTTCCCACAAATCTACCATTTTAATACTTTCTTAATTTAATGTTAAACGAGTTGAGTCTGAATTACACTTGTTACACTTAAGGCTTAATATGGCCTACCAGCCGAACTTCATTTTCGGTCCGTGTCCCAGTCATAATCGTATGTGTTTGCCGTTGGTTTGTTGGCCATTTTCTCGTTCGTTCGTTGAGCTGGGCGGAATATTGCGGTTCTCAGTTGAATTTAGTTGTGTTTATTTTAGTTTTCGGTTGGTCTTCCTTTTGGATTATTTTTGGCTCTTGCCTGCTGCAAGTTTTTCTTATGAGTTCTATCATCTCCCTCCATTTGGAAGCTTTTTCCCATTATTATTCTGAAAGTTTCGCCTTGAATTTTTTTGTTGCGTTTGCCCTGACATCACGTTGATCCTTTGTTTGATTCAAACAAATTGTTTTGGCTGTCCTACATATGTATGTATCCTTTGGCCAACGTTTGTGTGTGCGATGTTGTGCGTGCGTTTTGTTGGGACTTGTTGTTGCTCGATGTGTTTTCCTTTTACGCAGGCTAGATACACACACCCAGACACAACACACACACACCAAAACTTGCTACTTTACCTAAATGTTTGCTTATGCTTTGATTGTGCTTAACTATTCCATGTAAGCCTACTGTCCGTCTACCAAATTCCTCTTCCACTTTCATTCACGCGAAAGCTGTCTGTCAATTAATGTAGAAAATACCGTATTATATTTGGTGGTCTAACGGTTCATTCTCTACTCTCCAACAACAGGTGCCGCCGGAATCAAAAGCTGGTCTGGGCAATGGCGGCGATATGCAACAGCAATAAACACAGATTATGGAATCAGCAACACCAAGAATAAAATATAAAAAGTATGGAACACAAACAACTTAAACCGGAACGTGCGAACGAAATGCTTTTGTAAATTGCATTTAATGTGATTTATTAAAAACACACCCACAAAACTCACACACACACACAGAGCTGCTAAATGGCCACTCAAATACCTACACAGCAACAACATCAGAAAGAACACTAAGTTCAATGGCATTTTGTGTAAAATTAATAAGGAAAACAGCAGCAGCGAAAGCGAAATGCCGAGTGAGTGTGCACAAAAAGAGGCAAAAACAAACCAATGTGTGTATATGTATGCAGACAAAGCGAACAAAATCAACATGGTTGTGAAAACATAACTCACACAGGCACAGACCCCGACACACATACACGTACACAGATAGAAAAAACAGAAACACAAGTACAGAGAGAGCAAGCACAAAAGTAGGCAATGAAAATTTACTCGTGCTGATTTTCTTCGGTGACAGGTGCTACATGCTCTAGAATTTTTATTTACAAAGTTCTAATTAATTTTTTTTATGGTCTTTATGGTCTGTCGAATCAGTAAAACAAAGTATGCAAAAGTATTTAATTCCAATTTCACAACAATGAAAAAAGCATTGGCCTTCCGGATTGATATTATATTATATAATGCATACGTTTATACACCTTTATGAGGGATTACAAAAATCTTTATATATTTTAGCGCCCAAAATTGTTTTGCTCAAAGCTAAAGTATTACTGGAAGAATTTATGAAAATTATTTTTTCACGGGCATTTAGATAGTCGGCTGGTCCGGGATACACTTTTGTTTTGCTATACTTTTTTTTATTCAATTTAATTTATGCATTATTTGCATAATATTTCAATGAAGCGCAAACCGAAATAAAATTGAAAAACAAATTTATTGAAAGTGCTACACGTGAACCAGCTGCTCTGGTTAATCGGAAATAACCAGCATAAATCAAATCTGACAACATTCTAAATGACATTTTCTGATAGTCGAACGGTTTTATTTTTTACCAAGGAAAGTTTTCCAAAATGTAAAATGGCTCAAAGGATTGCGGAAAGTGGCCCATAAATTGAAACTGAATTTATGAACAAAGCTCATAATTGAGTCAGTACTTGCAAAATGTTTAAAGAGAGCATGCATAAAGTAAAGATTTGTGTGCTGAACTCATTTCAAAATTAAATATGCATTGAATTTGAATTGAATTCAGTCACTGTTTTAAATTAATTTACGATTTTAATTTGATTTTCGGTACTCGTAAAATTGGATACAAAATTTACTGCCCGAAACGAACAGAAAAAAACTGAACTCTCTCTGTAAGAAGGTCCAAGTCTCAGATGAAGATAAAATAATTCGTTCGCAATAAAGTTTAATTAAATCAAACGAAATAAAAACACAGCAATAAAAAGCACGAATATTTGAAACGAAAATAAGGAAAAAACAAGCAGGCCCTCGACACAAACAAAAGCAGAAAAACACTTTCGAATATATGTTTGCTGATATAAATGCATTTTCTGAAAGCAAACGGAAATATTACCAAATGGCCAACGTAAAGTTAAATTTAAAAAGGGTAGATTAAATACAAAAACCAAATTCACCAAAAATTATAAATCAAAAAACTCAATTAAATAGTATAAATGCATGTAAGTAGCTCAAACATATTTAATATATTTTTTCGTTTGTGTTACCTTTAATTTGCATTAAGGAAAAAAATAAGAGTGCGTTAGTTAAAATCTAAAAAAAAAACAAATAAAAATAGTGGGATAAGCGAATGTGAATTAAAATGATAAACAAGAATGAGAAAAAGGTCAAAAATAGCTGCGATACACACTAAACATAAAATGGGATAAAAGCAATGCTCAGAAAGGTATAAAACTCAAAATGAGGAGCTGAAGAATAGCAAATGACACCGCATCGCACATTTCGCAAAAATCTCATTTATCCCCGTTCCTTCGGATTAATTCAATCCCGCAGTATAGCGATGTGCAGAAAAGGATTAACTTTAATTAAATATTAAACACACTTTTTGAGGGGCGGCAGTTAATTAGCAACAGCTACCGTATTCAGGCTCAGTTGCGACTCTTTATTCTGTGCATGTATTTAATAACGAGTGCAAAAATCAATACAAACATAGTGAACAATAGGGCATTTAAGATAAGGACACTAAGTTGAAGATCCATTTAACAACATAACTTCAGTAAGTTCCTACAAGCTCCTCCAGAACTTTTTTATGACGGCTAATTGGCACACAAGCATATTACTCTACTTTACCATATAACCTGTTCAAGTTTCCAAAGCACATCACTACATATTTTCCACTATATTTCTATAAATATAAATGTGTGTATTCGTCTACTTTTTCTGCAGCACTGTAAAGCAATCCCAGCGGTATAGAGTTTCCCCCAACTTTCAGGGCAATTTTAATAATAAAGCCGCATTGGCCGTTGTGTGGCTTCACAAAATACAAACTCGTCCTTACATCGCAAACCCTTTCCACTCCACAGCCTCACAGGTAGGCAGTGATGTGTGCTGGTGTTGGGAAATTGCAAGCCAACATAAATTTATGTCTGCCTGACACTTTTATGTGCTGCGCTGGCGGTTTCAGCTTTTTACGTCGCGTTTTTAGACGCCAGCAGAACGCATGCCAATGTTTGGCTAAGCCGCAGGTTTTCCTGTCCACAATTAACCCGGCCAGGTGCCGCCCACACCTGTCCAGTGGGTGTGGATCGGGGTTGGGGTTTTGGGGGGACCGTGAGAAGGCGCTTATTTTTAGCCGAAAGGTCGTCTGTAGGAGCGGCTGTAAAAGGCCAGCTGCTGCTCCCCGTGTTCCCCTTCCCTTTTGACACATAAAAAATAAAGGATAAAGGTGTTTGCTTTAAATGGGCATAGGCAGTCATAAACCCCCCACTCCGAGATGAAGGCATAAGTGCGATGTTGTGTCGGAGCTATGAAAATTGAAAACGGCTCAAAAACAAAGGGAATACCGGAAAACAAAACAATTTAAATGCTTTCTATGTAGCGTACTAAGGACCAATTACCAAAGAGGCGTGCGGGGATAATTAAAAAAATATATACACAAATATGAAAATGTAGCAACGCGCAGTAGAGAATTTGCAATATATAAATAAACACACATGCGACATAATGAATATTGACTCAAATACCATTTAGTAATTATACAAGCATATATATATTATATATACAACAACTCAAATAAATATATATACACATACGGATATGTAGTTTAGTTCGTGTAGAGGATCAAGCGTTTGCATTATTCGAGTTACAACCTATAAAATCTTGTAAAAGTAAAATACCAAAAACAACACTCTGTATTGTTCAAATACCGTTGGCTCAAATCAAGCTCCACTTCTGGGCGAGCGACTCTGTAAAAATGGTAAACTGTAATATACGCCTATGCATAACTAAATAACTATACTTTGATATATGATAAATATATTTTATAAACAACTTTTACTCTTAAACAATAAACAATTTTAATACTCTATCTTCAGCCTTACCGTAAACTAAATGAAAGAATCTAAAACATGAATCTAGAAACTCCTTATGAAGAGCTCCGAAAGCTAATGTGCAAAGATGGAAATCTAGCCTAACCTAAGCCTACAACCAACGAAATCGATTAAAAGTTGTTAGTTTTGTTGTTTGATGTAAATAAGCTTTAAAGTGGTTAGCTCAATACGAATACTTTGTTTACTCCTTTCGTTAAAATGCGTTTGAGGAATACTTAAGCCGATAGCGAAAACCAAACCTTTGTGATCCAAAAAGTTTCTTCTCTTCCATGAAGCAAAAACCAAACTAACCAATATAATAATATGAATTTAAAATAAATATGTAATAACATTGACTTAATTAGCTGAGACGTTCAATAATTTCGAAAGGCATTTAGTAAAGGAAATTGTGAAAAACGAAAATACCTAAAATAAATGAAAGCATAAAAGCCAAAAAAGGAAACTGAAATAACAATCTGTTTTTCTTGCATTATCATATTTGTAAGCTAAATAAATTATACTAATACCTAATGGTAAACTGTGCCCCACTCCAACATGAATCAAACCCTTCGAGTAGTCCCTGTCCCCTCATTATCGAGCTCAATATTCCCAAAAATGTCGATCAATTTCCTGGTCTATTGGCCAACTAATCAAATTCACACCTCTAGAGTCCAAATTAAAAATGAAATATTGCACTTAGGGCCCGAAAGAAAATGGTCTGAAAATCGAAAATGTGCGCAGTGGAAAGTTGGGCAATCTGCATAAACCCCGCACCGACTTGCAGTGGCTGCGCCCAGACTTTCCTCCTGCGCCCCCTTCTTGGACACGGACAACCTACTAAAAGGCGGCACGCAAATGGCCAGAATATGTACGCCTGGCATGCAATGGCCCTCACTTGGGGCCAATGGACGAGACGGCCAAGAGGGGCTGGGAAATGGGGTTCTGGGCGGTTGCCACCCTGCTGCGAGCAGGGAAACTTTCGACTTAATTGGCCAATTGTTTGCCAAGGCGCTGAACAAGAAAAAGTGTTACATATTTGATGCCGTTTTGCACATTTCTCTCTCTTTTTACTTGCCTTTTTCCCGCCCAATGATCCGAAGCCAAAGAGGTGGCAAGTTTTAAAAGACCTCGTTTTGGCAGCTAATAATTTATCGGAGCGATTTCAGCAAGCGTCTAATTGCCACTCAGCCGGGGGTGTTGGCCCATGGGTGTCGGGAGCAAATATGAAAATTTGGTGTATAATGCACGGATGGCATGGTCGCCGTCCCTAATCACGCTTATAATTGAGCCGCAACGCTGAAAGTGTCCGGCACAAATTGCCGACCACTTAAATCGAGAAACCCAAAACGGTCTAGCAAACTTATCGATGGGTGAATAGGACCACCCACGCTGAGTTCGGGGTCACTTGTGTCACAGCGCGTCAATATATAATCAAGCAGTCGACAAAAAAGGCTGTCATTACTCTAATACTGGATTTGCTTATATGGAATAGCTTAAATATTTATTGTCAGTGTGGACGGAACTGTCAGAGCAGAAGATAATACAAAATTGGCAAAGATGATATTAGAAAAACGGCTTTCAAATACCCGATGATCGGTTATCCAATTTTAAAAAATGTGGCGCAATCTAGCGTTAAGGTATGGTTAGTATATAAATACTAACGCTGACGTAATTGTTAAACCTAATTTCTTAATTAATTTCTTAATGCTATTTGGAAAACTTTTTTGTGTGTCGATTAGTATAAGTTCGCCACAGAACATTTTTGTAAGCGTTAAATAGGTCGTGGCCAAATTTAAACTTGCGTAGGCATGAATAGAATCTTCAAGTTAAGTCTCTAGCTCGTATAGTTATCCAGATCTCGACGTTCATACGGACATGGCAAAAAACAAAAAAATTAAAAATTAGTCATTTTTCATTAAAATGGTAATTTACCAATAAAATGTTAAAGTAAATAGAAAATTAACAATTGTTCGACAAAATTGTAGTTCAACAATCTTGAACAATTTTGTTTTTATTAATTTTTATTATTATTATTATATGATATTATTTTTTGTTGTATTAAGTTATTTAGAAGTTATTTATTGACACTAACTTTTATAATTAAATTAAACTTTATTATTCAATTTTCCTGTCTGCACCGGGAATCAACCGGGGTCTCAATCATCGGAGGCTAGGCTGTTACCATTGGAACACCAAATAATGATATTTTAGAAGAAAATTTTGAATAATAAATGTTAAATAGTACTTTTTGTGTTTTAAATATTTTTTTAATTTATGGTTTAAGAGCTTTTAATGATTTTGTTTATTCTTTTGGCAGTTCAATTTTGAGAACTGCGAAATAAAAATTGTGTCAGCTTACAGCAGTCATGATGTACATATGTATATTCAATGACCTAATATTGGACCGTGGCCAATTTATGGCGTCTACGATAACTGAAACGCAAATTTTAAAAGTTTGTATTCTGGACACACCAGCTTTGCTGCTACTGCCTCCCGCTTAGTCTGCCGGTAATGCCAATTGCTGTCCCATGTCCTGACAAGGGTTCCTCCAACAGTTGGCTATTTTTGCGATATTGTGAAATCGAAACTCAGACGACGATTCAGACTATGGAGATGCCTGCCGCCTGTCAGAAAAAAGCAGAGCTCAATACTGGTGCAGGATAATGCCTTATATACGAACGCAAAATACATAAATAATTTACATTTCGCATGGTCACGCACAAATCATGTGAGGCCCATACCCAAACAAATGGAAACAGTCAGCCGGAGAACTTCGAATTTGTGTTGGGGGCTTTCGATTTTAGTAAGGGCAGATCTGGGGACGGGAGATGCGCATGCTGCGTATAAAAGTGACAGTTCAACATGGAAACCCACTCAAAATGTTAATTGATACGCATGCAAGCTGCTTGGGGGCCACGGGGCATACGGAAAGTTTTCTGTTTGCTGTCAGAGGGAAAAATAAAACGTTCAAAGGAATGATTTCTCGTGGGAGATTAAAAAGCTCAATAATGGAATTAAACTATTTAAAACAGACCATATATTTTATACATTTTACTGGCAAAATAAAACTTTGAACTTAACGTCGCTTAGCATGCAAAATTAAAAAATATTTTTAACTGTAATAACATGCTCAAAACAGCTTCAAAGGTCAAAAAACCCAATTTCTTTAAATTATATATAAATATTGTACCCAGGGAAAACAAGCATTCTGTGTTTCCTTCAAGTAAAAGTGAACTTTGAAGACATTAATAGTACTCATATTTTCACCCTTAAAATACAATTTTATAGCGTGTATGTGAGTAGTTCTAGAAATAAATGTTAAGATTTATTAATGTCAGATGCTGGCATCTATTAATCATATTTCTGTTAGAGACTGTTGGACAAACTAAAATGGTGACAATTTTAACAGTTCTTTTTGCGAACCATTTATTTTGGTACGGTGAAAAATTTATTTATTCTGCAAAAACATTCACATTAATTTCTGAATCATGATAACCTGTCGTAGTATCAATATCAACACACATTTATTTAAATAAAACCGTTATTTTAGAAGTTTCATGTTTCATTCCCATTTATACGATAGTTTATTTGTAACGATTTTTTTTAAGTTCAGAGTATTTCAATCTCGAGTTTTCCAGTATATTTCATTTAATCCGATATATTCAGTTTCTCGACACCTGGTCACATTGTCTCAAAAAATAATATTTATTATTACGATATTATAGTAGAAAATTTGCAATGGAGAGGCTGAACGATGATTGTGTGTGCAATATACTGGAGTTCCTGCCCCTCGTCGAGCAGATAAAAATGGCCCGACTTGCGCCGCGTTTCCAGGAGCTCCTCTGCCTGATTGTGTGGCGCAAGCCGCGCTACCGGAAGGTTTCCGTATCCGATTCCATGCTAGAACCCCTTTGCAAGGAAGACTACGTTTATTTCTTCGAGCTCACAAGCCCGGCGATGGAGGAGCTGTACATATGGAACGTGCACAAGAAAGCCTTCGATTCGTATTTGGGTCGCCATCTGATGAGACCCGAATTGGCCTTCTACCTACGCAGGGATTACAGCAGTCTCCGAGAGCTCTGTATCGCGGACGAGAGCATGAACAACAGCATGATCAACACGATAGCCAAGAGCTGTCGCCAGCTGCGCAGCCTGAGCGTGTCCAGTGCCTACGTCACGGGGAAACACATCGCGGGTCTGGCGAATTTGGAATCCCTGGTGGCGCCCGAGTGCTCCGTAGAACGGTCTTACCTGGCTGAGCTGCTGGAACAGCTGCCCTTGAAGCACTTGGATCTCACTTCAAATCGGCATCCCGTTGAGGCGACTATTCTGCAGGCTGAGGGCAGCAAACGACTACAGCGCCTCGGCCTATCTGATGCCCTTGACTACGGCTTCCCTCTGGCCGATGGGCTGCCTCTACTTACCCAGCTAGTGGTCAGCTACCACAAAATTAGCCCCCAGGATCAACTAGCCATGCTGGACTCAACGCGAAAGCGTGTGGAGCGATCTGAGGGCAAATTTCCCAGGCGGCTGCAATCGATATTGTGCAATGTGGTGGATGTGGAGGTGGCCCTCGAACAGATTGCGGGCCTAGAAAAGCGCCATCCAAGGGACACGCCAAAGTTCAACGAGCTGCTAAAAATCATGTATTTCTTGACGAATCCGCAGGGCGAAGATAAGAAGTAACCTTGAGATTGCCGGGGATCTTTGTCGGAATTGACCCCCCATGTTTTCCCCTGTATATACATAAATAGGTACTAGACGTCACCAGAGTGACAAATGAAACTGATATGTTTATCAGTTAGCAGCTGCTCCCTAGGGTAATTATGTGTCTTCGCAGATAAGGCTTGTTTGTTCGAGTATTTTATGTTTACCAATAAGTTTTCGGCGCCACATTCAAACAACTACATCAGTTTTGAAAAGCTACACCAAATAATTGTTTACTTTACTCTTGCAGAGAGTATTAAACTTTTCCATACATACCAAACCATGTAGTTCATATATGAAATATATTTTTTCTTCTTTAATTTTCAGAGCCCTAACGGTTTACTACCCTAACAAATATAACGACAAGTGATTAGTTAGTTTGGCTATATCTTATTTTAACGTGCGTAAGACCCTACGGTGTATAAGACAAGCCTATAGGATATAGTCAACTTTGGGCAAACAAAAATATATAGATTCTTCAAAAACAACGCAATTTAATTCATTTAACGCAATCGCTCTAATGGCTCTTAAGGATCGTCAGATCGGCCAGATTTTGTAACATAATTATTGAAAACATAAAAAATACATTTTAGAACATTTTTTATTGTTAGCTTTTACTCTGCGAAAATAAGTTACATAGAAAGTTTCTATTAGAAACCGTATTGCATAGAAACAGTATGGACCATAACAATGAACAACAATTTGTCCATTTCTTGGAAGGCGACTAATTCTAAAATTTTGACCACGATTGTTTTAATTGTGTAAACGCCACACTTGATCTGAGTTCATATAAAAAGACTAGTGTAAAAGTTTATGAGTTTTGAAAAAATAGTTCGCAAGTTTACTATAATTCATTTGAGTTTTCTGTGTTTGGTAAAAACATATTTTTAATGTTGTAAATGTCTGAATATTAATTTTTTAATAAATCGCTGCCATACTTCTCTAAGTTTGAGGATCTATTGTACGACTACTTAACTTAAAAGAAAGTGATTTTTTGCTCGTTTAAAGACTAATCGTAATCAAATAAATGTATATTTGACAAAACATGGGCAATTTTAGAATGTTATATTTTTTTCAGTTGTTGCTTATGTTTATTATAAGAGTATTTAGAGTTTCGGTTATCCCTACATTTATTATTCGTCGTGTTTTCGGTGTGCACTTCAAAGACTGCACTGATTAAATGTTTGTTATGATTGTGTGTACATATATTTGTGTCAGAACGGTAAACTTTGTTATTTTATTCAGCCGGGTGAAGCTGTGATAAAACCGAACCAAATATTCCATTGACTTGTTAGACCCCTGTCTAATTGATATATATTCTTCAATTAGGACTCAATTGTCAGACTTTTCGAGTTCCCTCATTTCTGTAGTCGGCAGTTCCCATGGGCAGGAGGTATTTTGTTGATTAAATTTGTACAACAACATTTGTAAAATTCTAATAAAATAGAACTTAAAAAAATTTATTAAATAAAAAGTGTTGAAATTAATGGTTAAAACGAAACCATCTAACCAGGTTCCAGAACTGGTCTTGAGCCCAAAAATAAATTTAATATGGGTCAAAATCGTGATACAAAATGAACAATGAAATGGTTAATTGTTAGTAAGTGTTATACGAACAAAGCATTTAAGACTAAATGACAAAAGACGGGCCCAGATACGAGAACAGCACTCCGGAAAAGATGCCCGTGATCAGCATGGCAGCTGCGTACATTCCGGCTGTGGTTTGGTACTTGGCGTGCACCGTTTGCGGGGCGTACATCATGCCCAGAGAGCTGAGATACCCGGAACTGTAGGCCATTACGATCGCGATGCCCCAGTAGACCCAATCGTTGTCGATAAAGACAGGCAAAGCACGCACTTTGTCCGGTGGGGTGTAGTTGCACATAACAAACAGGGGAATGAATACAAGGCGCAACACCACTGGCACCCACAGGAACCTTGGACCCGGCCATTGAGCCCAGGATGTAGTTAAACTGCCCAGCATCGCGAACACATTGAAGGTCAAAAAGCAGGTGAAAAGTGTGAAGTAATTTGGGCCGAAAATGAAATCCGGGTCTGAGCGATGGACGTTCGACTGGATTGACGGGAACACCGAAAGGGTCACGAAGAACGTTAGGAAGATGTTGAGCAGCTGCGGTGAGGACTTTTTGAAGATCTGCCAGTAGGGCACGTTCAGCTGTTGCTTGGAGTCCGATTTCTTCTCGCTGCTCCGGCTGATGGTCTCGTAGTGCCGGAAGAACTTGTTCAGGGGCAGGGCGAAGTATGTGTCGAAGCAGAGCAGGAGCACCAGAATGGCCGTAACGAAGTAGTAGATAGCCGCGGTTCTTTTGGAGTCAAAAATCTCGCCGCTGATCAGGGCCATGGCGGAGGTGAAGCAGCCGCTGATGTTGGACCCCAGCACCACGGCACCCGTGTACTTGATGGGCAGCGAGGCCACAATGCCGTAGATGGTGTTCTGGTAGATGCCGTTGCACACGTTCAGGAGCACAATGCACACCATGGTGGTCCAAAAGAAGATGCCAGGCCACTGAGACGAGTCCAGCATGGCCAACACAATGGTCACCAGCAGAATGACCATCTCGAAGATGATGCTGTACACGATCCGGCTGGTCAGGTCGCCGCCGAAGTTGACGAAGATGTTAAGCCAGTTGAAGATCAGGTTGGGAATCTGCGAGGCGAAGCTCATGTTCTGCATGAAGTGGGTACGGTAGTTCACGTCGGTGGCCACCGTGTTGTTGGTCCCGAACTTGAAGTCCTCGAAGTAGGACTTGGCGGTGATAAACATGTTCCACGGCATCAGCGTTCCCACGCCGTGCAGCAGGAATATAAAAAACACAATGAGATACTTGTCCTTGGGCGCTGGCAGGCCCAGTTTTCCCAACATTGACTGGGATCCCTTGCCATTGGAGTCATGGGGCGGCAGCTTGGATTCCCACGAAGGATTCAGCGTCACCGGTGCCTGTTGCCGGCCAATAAAAGGCGACTTCTCCGATTTGCCCTCCGCCATAGCTGCGCGACCACTGTTCTGATCTGGTTCGGATTTCTGGTTATGCGGGCGACAGCAGTTATTGGGGCGTATGCTAGAACCAAAACTTGCGCGGTCAGTTTTTTCTCGAGGGCCGCCAAACCGGTAAGAGGGCGGGAAGGTTTGATTTTCAACTCTCGTATGAAACCGCTCCAATTTCGAGTCTCAGGTTTGTCCTCCTTGCGGGTGGTGTGCCGGAATTAGTGGTCACGTGTAGCAGCCAACTGCAGTGCACCGAGAACTGACTGCGCGGACTGTGATTACAGAAGAGATCGCATCGAATCAAAGGTTATACATAAGGCACGCGTTCTTGTACTGTTATCGCACTCGAAGATTATCGCCGAGAAGTATCAGCTGTACTAGATCGGACGGCGGGCGTTGCCACACCGCTGAAAATTATAATTTATGGGCGTAGATGTGCGCGATTCCAGAGGGTTACGACACACATGGGCGTTGTCAGTTCATGCGTAACCGTAATGGGGTACAGAAGTTAAACCACTTCACAAAAAAATGTTACTTTTGGCTTTCACATTCCCAGTTTGTTCTATTTGTTTTCGTAATGAAAATGATAGTTTTCCATAACTCTATTTTAAGTTCACTGAATTGAGGGAATATTTGTTTGTTTTTATGAAATAAAATCAAAAGGCTTTTTAACTTAATTGGCAAACTAGGCACGTCGTCTCTTAGTGACCCCCTTCTCCACAGCCATGTTTGTTTAAAGCTGTCATAGCAACCAAGTAGCAATGAAAAAATAACAGCTTATCACAAATGAATGTAACGTATTTATTGTTACTTATGTCTCAATCGGTAGTTCTTTGTCTTTATATATGTATGATTAAAGATTAAAATCAGCGCAGTGAAAACGCTCCTCTGCAATGTTTTAAGCCAGCTGCTTAAATAATTTTGATAAATAATAATTTTAATATTTATAATAGTTGTAACATGGAATTATTTCATGATTTATGTCTAAATCGGTAGTTTTTTGTCTTTATATATGTATGATTAAAGATTAAAATCAGCGCAGAGAAAACGCTCCTCTGCAATGTTTTAGCCAATCTGCTTAAATTATTTTGAAAAATAATAATTTTAGTGTTTATAATATTTTTAAGATTGTATTATTTCATGATTTTCTGTAAGCCCGCATATTTAATTTTTTTTTTTTAATTAATTGAATTTGACTCAACAAGTAGTTGAGCTGCCAGATGGATAAAAAAACTGAAAAATAATCAAAGAAAAATAAAACCTTTATATTTAAATTGGCAAAATAATTTACTTTTTAATATATTTAACTCAAAAAATAGAAAAAAATGTTTTTATTTCCCTCCACCTGCAACAGGTGGCAAGGCTACCGAACCTTGCATGTTTTCCATCACTGAACTGTTCTTCTTCTTATACCTTCGGCGGCTTTTCGTTTGTTTAGGTGGAACACGTTGTTTATAAAGATTAAATTAAAGAATTACAACCATGGCCACCGAAGAGTCCACCCCCAGAATCCAACTGGGCGATTACATCGTCATCCAGCGCCAGAAGTACACGAAGCTCCAGAAATTCGGCAGTCTGGACACCACAGCCACTTTGGGCAAGGAGACTCTGGAGTTGAAATCGCTTTTGGACCAGCCCTACGGGTCCACTTTCAAGATGTGCGTCAAGGAGACAAAGCCTGGCAAGCGGGGAGCGCAGAGGCAGCATACGCTGGAGCTGTGCAGCGAGACGGAGCTTAGGAGCACGCGGGAGGTCCTCGGAATCTCCAGCAGTGGGGCTGATAATCGCGACATCCGCGACGACGGGGAAGCCCAGACCTTGAAACCGGAGGACATTGCACAACTGCGCGAGGAGGGCAACGATTCCAGCAAGATCATAGAGAAGCTGGTTGAGAACTCGAAGACCTTCCACAACCGCACCGAGTACTCCCAGGAAAAGTATCTGCTGAAGAAGGAGAAGAAGTACTTTGAGTTCGTACAGATCCGCCAGCCAACAATCCGACTGATGCTGGACATCTTCTACCGCCAGGATTCTGAAAAGGTGATGGGCATTCGCGTGGACACCCTGTCGCAGATCATCTCCTACTCGGGCGTCTGCGGGTTTGGCAGCTACCTGCTCTACGAGAGTGGCACCAATGGTATTTTGCCAGCGGCCATGCTAAATTCCATAGGAGCGGGTACGGAAGGCACCCTGGTGCACATGCACCCGGGAAACGTGCCCCAAAAGCAGTCCCTTCTCGCTTTGAAGCTGCCACTGGAACAGCAGCAGCGCTGCGTATCAGTTAACCTGTACTCCGTTTTGAGGGTGTTCTACCAAGGAGAAGAGGCAAAGACCATTGATCTCCCACCCGTTGAGCCCAGTGAAGAACAAGCACAGGAACTTCTGACGGATACGCTAGCAGAAGAACAGCCGGAGGCGATCGAACCGATAACCAAGAAGCCCAAACTAGAAGAAGTTAAAAGTGGGAGAGAAGGTATTTATTTAACTTGAAACGTTACGATTTTTTTTTTGATCAAAAAGCAATATTAATGATAAACTAAAAAATCTGTGATAAAAAATACAAGGGGGTTAATTAAAAATGTTTTAATTATTTTATTATTGAAAGGATCAAACTTTTGTAAAAATCACGTAGTCGCAAAAAAATCAAGAGTTCTATATTTGTAAAATGTTTAAATGTTTGGATCTACAACCAAACATAATTGTTTTGATTAATATGTTTTAATACACCTTAAAAAAAAATAAATACAAACAACGTTACTATACAATTATTCATTATAGGAGCCAAAGGCCCTCCACGCTGGCATTTGGAAAACAAGCGGGCCACGGCTTTAATGAACGCCGGATTCGACAGCCTAGTGTTGGCCCCAAAGGAGCACCCGACTAGCATCCTACAGGCTCTGCTGCCCCTCGTGAAACCATCAAGACCCATTGTGGTGTTCAGCACCTGCAGGGAGCTGCTACAGGAGACGTTCATGGAATTAAAGACTTCCGGAAAGGTTACGGGTCTGCACTTGACCTCGAACTGGCTGCGTACCTACCAGATTTTGCCCAACCGTACCCATCCAGAAGTGAACATGAGCGGAAATAGTGGATACCTTCTGACGGGCTATACGCTAAGATAGTTGTTGTGCGACTGCCAAATACATGTAAGCTTTTGTTTTGATAATATCATGCAATGTTTAATGCCCGGTGAGGTTCATGTCGAGTGTGTCTGTGTTCGTGTACAGCGCTCTGTAAAGTCGATCTAGACGGGCGGAACGTTCTTCAGTACGAAAAAGTGACCGCACTCACAACGCTTCGGTCCCTCGTCCTTTTCGATCCACATCCACTTGGGCATGCGGTCGTCCAGACATAAACAGCCAACGAGGCGGGCATCGAATGCCGATGGCACCACTGTGGGATCGTTCTCCCTTCCCGAGCCACGCCTTATGACTCTGGAGAATCCCCAGGGATCTTCGCAGCCCTGCTTGGCCAGCAGCATCTCGCGCTTCTGAATACCGGTGGCCAGTTCTTCGTCCGCAATCAGAGCTGATGGGATATACGATCTAAGTTTGGAATCTTTAATGCCTCTTCCCACCGCTTACCAGACTTTTGCACCTGAGTTGTGGATATGGGTCGCGGTCCGGGAGCAGCTACTGCTCCTCCCTGCCGCTGCAATCCAAGGCGTCGCAGCAAGGAGTTAAGTTTTCCCTCGCGCTGGGTCAAATTCGAGATCAGGCGCTTGGAAGCGGACGACGCCTTAAGTAACCGCGAAATGTACGACGACATTTTTATTGCAGCTTAAGTTAATTTCTTACCTTCAGGTAAGAGGAAATAAATAAAACTGAAGCGAGGGAACTCAAAAGTGTTTGAATGTATATTGAGACGCCTACTGCTGCTTAAAAATTAAATTATGTAAACTCATATTAAGAAATATTTGCAGTTTAGAATGAAAAAACAATCAAATAGCTTTTCGGCTTTTTTAAATTGTACCTAAATTATGTTGCCCAAAATCAGCATTATATTTTATTTATGTTTTAACATTTTGTGAGAATAATCAAAGTAGACCAGGATCTGCCGGAGAAAAGTTTGGTCAAGTATGAAATATATCTATCTATGCTGCTGTTAAATGAAATCCTTTAAAGTTCGCTCGAAATCACTTTGTTGCCTTTATTTTTCGCGTTTAGTATAGTAAATCACATCATCTCGATTGCAGTGGAGAATAAGATGGCAGAACTAAAAATGGAAGCTGAGCCGCCCGTTTTCCTTTCTAGGATCTTGGTTTTCGTTTTTTGGGTTGATGTTTGTTTATTTGGACAGCTAATTTGTTGACTTTTAGCTTAGTAGATGTTGTGTTTTTTGTTATTAATTGGTTTATTGAATTAATTAATAATAACTTTAAACAGCAGCCTTCTCCACCAGCTTGAACCAGTGACCGCACTCACAACGCTTCTGGTTGCCCTTCTGCAGCCACATCCATTGCACGTAGGTCTGATCCTCTTCGCCTAGGGTGAATACAAAGTGTTAGAATATACTGATTAAGTTTGCAGCACGATAATAGCACTAAGATTTTCAAACTTGTTTATAGTTATACTTATTTATAATAATTTTACATCTTTGGGGACAAAAGCGAAATTAATATTTCAGTTGAATTACGTTTTTACATCTTAACTTGCCTCATTAGTTAAAAACAATTTTAAAATTGTTCAGTAAGGGGATGATGTACAAACTGATAGTCATTGTTATCATTCTAACTCAATGTGCCAAAACTTTAAAATTAAATCGGTTTGTATGTAGTTTTCTAAGATACAAATGCTCATATTTCTTTGTATGGATATGAACTAAAGGAGCAATATCGTGTCTTTTGAAAGAGGATATTACAAGGTTCTGTCCTACAAATACAAAATCTTCTGTGCTAGTATCCTGAACGTTCCTACGTATACTCACAGATGCAGCCAACGATGCGGGCATCGAAGGCCGATGGAATCAGGTTGGGGTTTTCCTTGGTGCCGGCGCCCCGCTTGAACACCTTCATGTCAAAGGGATTATCGTTGCCGGCGGCCTTGAGCAGCAGCTCGCGCTTCTCGATACCAGTGGCGTGCTCCAAGGGATCGTTCATCACTATAAGGCAGAGGAAGGAGAATAGGAAAATTAGCTCACAAATTGATAAGCGACTGGTCCGTCAGCTGGGCGGCTGGTTACATAAACAGCAGACGCCCCAAAGCCAGGAGCGGCGTTGCAGGTTGGAGAGCAGGAGGAGCGATCCCGGTGAGCTTCCATGGAGGTGCTAACTCCGCACTGGTGTGCCGCTTCCCCCTCTCCGCTCATAAGTCGCACATTACCCTGCGCATAGTTATTACATAACCTCGCACTTTCCGATGGCACTTTTCTCGGGAACGAAAACGGCAGCTTCCCCGGGAAAAGATTGCAACGACTAGGTGTCTCCCCAGTAGCCATCCATAATTATGCAATTCCAGCACAGATTCGCGACAATTTTGGCGAACGTGACCGAAAAGCAGCTGTCCGTGGGATTTCCCTCTGGTTTGCTCCACTTACTTTTGCAGAAGCGCACGGGCGTGTAGGCAACATTCTGGCGTGCGGCGGTACGAAGCGCCATGCGTCCACAGATCGATGCCATTGTTCGTTTTGCGAAAATTTCGGTCGGTCTTAAAGCGTGAACACCAAAAATTCTTTCGTAATTTTTCACACAGGGGGACTTAAGGACAGTGTGCGAAAATCATCCAACGTTAAGTGTTGCAAAACGCCCGTATTTTGACTTATCGACAGCGCGGCGTTGCCATGTGGTCCACCAGAGGGCGCCACAGCGTTGCCGGGCAACAAAAGGTAAAACCAAAACAAATAATTAAAAACTTTTCTGAATGTGCATCCAAAATGTCCAACAAGCCGATAATCTGCTTTGATACATCAAAAAATGAGCGTTTTCAAATATCAGACAACTACAAAATGATGCATCGCAAGCTGAAGGCCAATTGGAACGTGGAACAGTCAGTATCTTAGAAAACTTGAAAATAGTACCTCTTATCTGCTTCATTTGGCGAAAAAACCCTGTTATTTTAATAAACGTTTGAGAAAACATTTATAAACTTTTTAGCCAATAATTGTTTTATCAAAATTGTATTGGCAAAACCTTTCACTTTGAGTATTAATAATGCCAATATAAACCGCGGGCTTGGCGCGCGCATCCCTGATTTCAAACATATTAGATTCTTGAATAATAACATAAGATAATAAAATAGCTCTGTAATTGATTAACTGAATTCAATTACTGAAAAATTCAAAAACTTGTGTTTTAATAACGTATATCCTATCCGCAGAAACGATGCGGAGCTCAGAAAGGAGCGCCTTGCCCGGGTAAAAGTGTTTGTGCTCGCCGGACCCCAGGATCGATTCACCGAGGACGAATTCGAGGTGCTAAAACACTACGTGGAGGTGCAGGGCGGCAGTCTGCTGGTGCTCCTGGGCGAAGGCGGGGAGCCGGAGTTCAATACCAACGTGAACTTCTTCCTGGAGCAGTACGGGATCTACATCAATGGGGACAATGTGGTGCGACCGCATTACTACCGGAACTTCCATCCCAAGGAATGCATTGTGGGTGGCGGCGTTGTCTGCGAATCCATGTGGCGACATCTGCTCAAGTTGGACATAGAGAAAGTGGACTACGATTTCAGTGACGAAAAGTATAAGATACACTTTCAGTATCCTTACGGGGCCACTCTGAACGTATCTGAGCCTGCGAATGTCCTGCTGACCACGGGTCCAGTAGTCTATCCCTTCAATCGCCCCTTAGCTGGCTATTTTACAAACGGGAAAGGTGGAAAAATCCTAGCATTGGGCTCGGGCTACATTTGGCACGATAAGTATCTACAGGACAAGACCAACGATGCCATATTTGAGTATTTGCTGAAGCTGCTCGGAGGAGACGAGATCAGCTACAGCCATTTGGATTTTAATGATGTCGAGGTCAGTCCAAAAACTTAGAATTTAGATAAGCATTTTGGTGGGAATTTCAATCGAGCTAGTATGGGGGTTTGGTTGGAGTAGTTTTTTAGAAACCAAAATACTGACTAAAATAATAGGCCTGTTTAACTAATTATTGATTCAAAATAATAGTTTTTTTTGAACTTAAATTAAAATCTTTAAGTTGTTTTATTATTTGACCATATCTTGTTTCATATTTTTTCCCTTTGCGCAAAGAATTAGAGGAAAATAAACTAAAATTACGCCAAAAATACAAATGTTCATAGCAAAAAAGGTTTATTGTCGATACTCTTTTGTAGTTTAACGACACTTTTGTTATTGTCATACGTTCTTATTTTATGTACCATTTGATTACCCGTATTATAAGACAATTTTTTAACAATGTAAAATGGGGGCTCTCCAAAACTTTTTTCAAATCTTCTCCAGCTCAGCGACAATAAGCACTTCACCGACCTGGCGTTTCTGGCCGACATGCCCAGGGCCTGCCTCATTGACTCGATCGGAACCGAGATGCCCACTGACTTCAAGCAGATGTTCGAGATGAAGCTCTGTGCTCTGAGCAACCACTTGCTCAAGGAGGTCATCGATGCTTACGAGCAACTGCACGTAAAGTACGAGCCGTTGAAGATAATCAAGCCGCAATTTGAGATACCGCTGCCCAACCTCCAGTTGGCGACGTTTCCGCCGATCTTCAGCGAGCCGCCCGCTCCTCCGCTGGAGCTGTACGATCTCGACGAGACCTTCAGCGGAGCTCGATCCCAACTGGCGCACATGACCGGCCAGTGCCTGCAGGCGCTGCAGTCAAAAGAACCCCAGAGGAGGTCCCTCAACCCTCGGGAGCTGGAGAACTACGTGAAGGAGTGCGCCAGAATCACGGCCATTGTGGACGAGCGACAAGATATGGCCGCTCGAGAGATACTCAACATCGTGGCCCGCCAGATTGTCAGCTACAGGCCATACGCGGAGGATTAGGACGCTCCGATTACCTGCAGGGCGGCACATTCCTGGCAACGATTTTCGGGCCAATCAGCAGAAATAGAATTATGTGAATATAAAATATAAAATTGAAAACCTAGTCTGTTTTATGTAAACATGTTGGCGACTCCAATTCAAACATGGCCGGCAAGCCAGCGAACTAATGCTCCTCTGTTCTGCGCAGAGCTCCCGAGTTGAATTACACTGAAGGCAATTTTTGGAGTGCGGGAAACACAAAACCTGTGGGAAGTAAAGCTATATTGCTGCTCTTAGCAGCGGCTCTCCCATCGTTTAGTACGAAAATTGTTTACTTAACACAATTAATTATTTGTATTAATATTTCCCCGGACGCCCTTGCCCCGCTGATCATCCAAAAAATACCCCGAGGAGCTGTTCTGTTTTTAGGTGCTAACAATTTGTTTCCGCTTTTCTATAGGGGAACCCGCGTCCCTAGCTGCTAATTGGGATAAGAGGCCGGGGAGAGGGGGGCTTGAGTGTGTGAAACCACTAGTTAATGTTTGTCACAACAAATCTTGTCATCAATCTGGGGTCCCCAGGGGGAGACAATATCAGAGGGAGGTGTCTGGTAAAAAACTATTGCACAACTGACGGTTGTAAATTTTTAGATTTTCTTTAACAGTGGAAAAGAATTCTCTGGAGCTTAGGTCGATGCAGGATTCGTAAAGGAAAGGATCGTATTCTCCTGAACCCAGCTGTTGATATTGAAGATTTGTTATTATTTACTGAGGTAAACTAATGTCCTTAAAATCCATATAAAATGCCATTAAAAAGAAAAAAAAGCTTGCTAATTTTTTTTTGTAAAAGCAAAATGATTTTATACTTTTAGGCCCAAAATATTTTAGTACTACATCGAAGTCCGTCTTTAAAGAAAAAATCAAAAAAATCCCCAAAAAATATATAAAAATGTGTTTCAAAAATGTCGGAGTTAATTTTATGTAAAGGCTTTTGAATAAATTTTATTAAAAAAGATGCTACATTGTCTATCGAAACTTTTTATATTCAAAATTTATCAATGGGCTTAGAAATT